AGAAATAAAAATATATGCATACACATAATCTTGTTCACAAATGTTATAATAGCATCATTCATAATAACCAAAAAGTGGTGACAACCCAAATGTCTACCAACTGTTGGATGGATAAATAAAATGTAGTATATCCATAAAATGAAACATTCTGACGTAAAAAGAAATTAAGTCCAAAATGTTTGAACTTCAAAAACATTGTGCTGAATGAAAGAAGCCAGTCAAAAAATACTACATATTGTATGATTCCATTTATATAAAATATACAGAATAGGCATATTCATAGAGATAGAAAATAGATTAGAGGCTATCTAGAGCTATAATAGGAGGAGGTAATGGGGAAGTGATTGCTAATGGGTATAAGTTTTCTTTCTAGTATGGCAATTACACAATGGCATTGGTTGTGCAACTCTGTAAATATACTAAATATCACTGAGTTGTACACTTCAAATGGGTCGACTTTACAGTATGTACTTATGTCATCTTTTTGACAACAGGCATCCTAATGGTGTGAGGTGATATTTCATTATAGTTTTGATTTGCATTTCCCTGATTATTAGGGATGTTGAGTACCTCTTTGTGTACCTGTTGACCATTTGTATGTTGTTATGGTTTAGATGTGATGTGTCCATCAAAAGCTCATGTGTGAGACAATACAATGATAGGACTGTGAGAGCCTTAAATCAGTGCATAAATCCACTGATATAGATTAACAGGTCCATAACTATAGGCAGGTAGGGTGTGACTTGAAGAAGTAGGTCACTGGGGGCATGCCTTTTGGGTTTATATTTTGTCCCTGATGTGCCTCTATTTCTCCTTCTTTGCTATGATGTTCTGCTTCACCTTGGGCCCAGAGCTATGAAGTTAGAAAGAAATAAAAAACTGACTAGAAAAGAAATTGGTACTGAGAAGTGGGGTCATTGCTTCTGAACCTGATTATGTGGTTCAGAAGCCTTTGAAGCTGGTATGCATGGTTGCGGGGAGGTGTTGAAAAGTTTAGAGATGCAAGCTGGAAAAGCTTCAGAATGTTTTCAGTGGAACTTAATGGACAATTCTGTTGGGAGCTCAGAAGACAAGAATGCTGATAGGACAATGGACAGTAAAAATTGGCCTCATGAGGTTTCAGAGAAGGAAGATTCTATTGGAAACTGAACTAGAGGCCACTCATGTTATGTTATGGCAAAGAAGCTGTCTACATTTTGCTCCTGTCCTCAGACTTTCTGTTAGGCTAAATTTAAAGGTGATGAACTAATTAATTTGGCAGAGAAAACTTTAAGGCAGCATAGCATTCAGACAGTGGCATGGGTGTTGCTGGCAGCTTTTAGCCAAGTTTGCTTGATAACCAAGAACAGAAAGCAGAGCAGAAAGATTTGAAAAACTTGCAGTTTGACCATAAAAGTGTGAGTAAAACTGGGGTTAAGGAAGGCGTGGTTGTGAAAGAGACTACAGCCAGATACTGCTAAGTACTTTACCCAGAAACAATTGGAAAAATGGCATGAGGGCATCTCAGGAACCGGCAAGACCATACCCATCTCAGAATCAAGGGTGTAAAAGTAAAAATTCCTCCAAGAAGAGACCATGGGAGCACCCTGTTCACACGGGGGGCCTAGAAAGTTGTTTCACAGTCTCAGCCACCCAGGCATTCAGAGGCTGCTGCAGCCATCATCCCAGAATGCTTGACTACTGCTTGAGATGGTGGCAGACCTTGGCATCAACACCAACCATAGTGTTGGTCCTACAGGAAAGCAGGATGCTATAGTTAGGGGGTCATGGAGGCTTCCATTAAGATTTCAAAGAAATGCCTGGGAGACTAGGCAAAGTGTAGCAGGGTCAGAGTTCCCACAAGCTGTCCCTGAGAGGGCAATGTGTGAAGATGTGAGAGGAAGCCAAAGCTGCAGTGGAGACCCCCAAGACTGGGAGATGCCGGTAACATGGAACATCTGCCAAGGAAAGCTGCAAGAATCAATAAGAAACAAGCCATGTGGACTGCCACCAGCAAAACCATAGGGGCAGAGCTATACAATCCCTTTGAAGAGAATATCACAATGCCATATGCTTCAGATAATGGATATAGAGCTACAGGATGTGTTTCCAGCTGGATTTTGGTCTTGCCTTGTTCCTATCCCTTCTTTCTATGCTGCTATTTCTCCTTTGTGGAATGGAAATGTTTACTCTATGCCATTATATATAAGTTTATGTAACTTGTTTTTGATCTTTACTCTCATAGCTAAGAGGTTTTCTTTTTAAATTTTTTAGTTTTTCCTAATTGATTATACATGACAGTAGAATGCATTTTGACACATCATACATAATGGAGTATAACTTCTCATTCTTCTGGTTGTACATGATGTAGAGTTGCACAAGTCGTGTAATCATATATGCATATAGGGTAATAATATCTGATTCATTCTATTATCATTCTTACCTCCATACACCCTCCCCTCCCTTCACTCCCCTCTGTCTAATCCAAGGTACCTCTATTCTCTGCCTCCCCCCTTATTGTTAATTAGCAAACACATATCAGAGAAAACATTTGGTACTTTGCGATTGGCTTATTTCACTTAGCATAATATTCTCCAGTTCCATCCATATACTGGCAAACGTCATAATTTCATTCTTCTTTAAGGATGAATAATATTCTATTGTGTATATATACCACAATTTCTTTATCCATCTGTTGAAGGGCACCTAGGTTGGTTCCATAGTTTAGCTATTGTGAATTGAGCTGCTATAAAACAGCTAAGAGTTTGTCTTGAGTCTCAAACAAGATTTTTAAAAATATATTTTTAGATGACAACAGACCTTTATTTATTTGTATGCGGTGCTGAGAATTGAACCCAGAGCCTAAAACATGCTAGGTAAGCACTCTACCACTGAGCCACAACCCTCAAACAAGAGTTTTGACTTGGACTTTTGAGCAATGCTAAATATATGGGGACTCTTGGAAATGGGCTAAATGTTATTTTGAATTATGAGATGGGCATGAACTTTCAGGGGCCAGGGGCAGAATGTTATGGTTTAGATATGAGGTGCCTCCCAAAATCTCATGTGTGAGACAATGCAAGAAAATTCAGAGATGAAATGATTGGATTATGAGAACCTTAACCTAATCAGTGCATTAATCCACTGCTATAGATTAACTGGGAGATAACTATAGACAGGGAGTGGCTGAAAGAAGGTCACTGGGGGCATGCCTTTTGGGTTTATATTTTGTCCCTGGTGAGTAGGACTCTCTGTCTGCATGCATCCTGGTTGCCATTCCAAGCTACTTTCCTCCACCATGCCCTTCTTCTACAATGTTCTGCCTCAGCTTGGGCCCAGAGCTATGAAGTCAGCCATCTGAGACCTCTAACCCTGTGAACCAAAATAAACTTTTCTTCCTCTAATTATCTGACACATAGTACATGCTCACAAGTTATTCTTTTCAGATCTTTTGGTCACAGCAACAAAAAAGATGACTAAATCCTATGTCTTCTCTGGAAAAGTATATATTCAGGTCATTTTCCCATTTTTTAAATTGGATTTTTGGGGTGGGGGTTTTTGCTTAATGTAGTTCCTTACATAGAGGAATGTTTGATATCATATTTTTTCTAAATTTAAGATCCTGTAACCAATATGGGCATCTATCAATTGAAGACTTATTCACTCTATTAATTGTTTATGGTACTACATACTACAGAACATTATGCATCTACTGAAATGAATGAATCAGATTTATATATTCTAACTTGGAGTGATGTTCATGATGAAAATTTTTAAAAATGTTTTTTAGTTGTAGATGGACATAATACCTTTATGTATTTTTTATGTGGTGCTGAGGATTGAACCCAGTGCCTCACATGGGCAAGGCAAAAATGGTTTACCACTGAGCTACAACCCCAGCCCATCATGATGAAATCTTTAAGGGCAGAAATTCAGTTGTAGAATAGAGGGTTTATATGATTCTACCTTTATACACACACACACATATTGTGTGTGTATATATATATATCCATATATATAAAAGTATATATGTTGTTTTCTGTCTTTCTCCTCATACTGGCATAAGTATTTGTTGAGGGAATTTTTGCCTATTTCATTCATTGCTATATCTAACCTGTACCTAAAACAGTGTCTGACACATAGTACATATGTACTATGTAATATGTACTATGTACTATGTAATATGTACTATGTAATAAAATAACTCACAAGTTATTTTATTCAGTGAATTAATAAGTGCTTATCTCTTTTTGTATGAGCAAGGAGAAGAAGGTGAAAGAGGTCATTCATGGCTGTTAGTTTTAATTACTTCTGGGGAAAAGGATTATTGAAAAGTAAAGGAGAGGGGTTGGGGTTGTGGCTCAGTGGTAGCATGCTTGCCTAGCATGCGTGAGGCACTGGGTTCGATTCTCAGCACCACATACAAATAAGTGAACATAAAAGTTCATCAACAACTAAAAAAATATTTAAAAAAAAGAAAAGTAAAATGAGAGTGAAGATAATTAACATTTTCTTTATCTTCCTTTTTAAATCTATTAACAATAAACATATTAGTTTCATAATGTAAAAATTCTAAAAAGATAGTGTTACAGGGAGAAAAGGAAGATAAACTATGAATGTCATTGTCATCACATGAAGAAATACTCAACATTTTAGTTATATACACTTCTGGGTAGAGAAGAGAAGAAGGGGAAAGACAAACAGGGCTGATTGAGGAACATAGAAGGCTACAGGTTAGGGAACACTGAGTGGGTGTGAAGACTTTCTTTTCTTTATATTTAGTTACATTTGTGGGTATTGGCTGCTTTAACTGTATTAAAAGATGTATGAATTGGAAATTGCTCCTTTTGTATCAAATATGGGTGTATTCATCATTTGGTGTCTAGAACTAATTCGTTTTGTTTAAACCAATGAGTAATTGTGTAAGTGACTGCCTTCACCTCTGTGGCTGCTCTTCATCACTTATAACTGGTCTACTGGATCACCAATACCAGTGTTTGGTGTTTTATGAATATATTCACCTTTGGTGAAGAGGGCTCATGCATGTTGAACTAGTTACTCGGTACTGGAAAAATCGTGGGTTCATACCATAACTCAGTCTGATGTAAGCTCCTCGATTGCTGCCTTCTTCGTAATAATTAGAAGCAGAAAATATGGTAATAACCTGATTAGTAAAAAAGAGAATCAGGTTCATAAAATTAGTTCTCAAAAGTTTATTCAATAAAGTCAGAAATAGCTTAATTATTAAAAAGCAAAAATTAAACACAGTTCATAATTTCTGCAAATTATCCAAGTCTGACATGATTTCTTAAAGAGTCCACTGGAGGAAAACAAAGGTTTTCACTCGGTGTCTCCAGGAGTACTACCTCCTAGACACTCATTCAATATCTCCAGTGCATGACCCTGCATTCCTATGTATAATTTTAGTGCCAGATCTTAGAATCCTCTTCAGTGTTTGGTTTTGCAAATTCTAATTTTCTAAGGGGATAAATCCCTTATTTTCTTATCTTGTTACATCTGAGCATTCAAAATAAAACTTGTCTAGTAGCTCAGTCTTTTTCTTTTGCTTGGAGCTGAGTAACTTCATTCATTGAATAAGACAACTTAGAGGGTTCAAGGCTCAACAAAGCCAGTGCTTTAAGGGCAGAGAAACAGTGCCAAGACTATGAAACCATGACCACTGTCTTGGGAAGGAACAAGCCTTAGGAGTATGGTGGAATATGGAAAGAAATATTTGTCAGTGACAGAAAACCTGGCTTAGGCCCAATTCTGTCATGATAAGCACGTCATTTCAGATAAACCACTGCTATATTCTATCCATTTTCTCATTATAAAGAAGTCCTAAAAATACTCACTTTACTTATCTTACAATATTAGTATGAGCCTAAAATAAATTAATAGTTAAGAAAAAGCAAAGGAAGAAATGCCACACAATTTGGTATTAATTGTTATTTATTGCTCTTCACTATAGAAAAAGAGGCTAACCAGGTCAATGGAGGAGGATGGGAATCATCTCAGTCCTCACCTCTTCTAACCTTATTAACATCACTGAAGGAGCAGAATACACTCCATTCTCATGGCTACAGCAAAACTAACCATGGAGAGCTACTAGCAGGAGACTGCCTATTCAGCCAGTTAAAGGAAAGTGTTTTATACTCTGCACAAGGAATGTGCAAAAAGTGGAAGAGAACAAAGTGGATTCACTGCTGCCTTCCATGTACTCTGTGAGGAAAAGTACATTCTTAACCGTACAGGAGAGTTGTATTACAATAAGTAAAGAATGAAGCCTCTGTGTGTGTGTGTACTTAGTGCCATGTGTCAGAATTTCATTAATCTGTTTCTGGGATTAATAAAGATCAGCAAATAAGTCAAATATCTCTTAGGGTATGGGAGAGTGAGGGCCTTTCAAACAACCTATATATGAACCCGCCAGTGTCTGCTTTTTGTTTGGTACTAGGAAAGATATCTTCTTATGGGCTCCTAGGTCAGACACACTCTGTGATGAGAAGACTCTATTCTTGGGGGAAGTATGTCTGTGAGGATGTCACCAACAATGTTAGCTTACCTTCCCATCATGGCAGATTTCATACCCATCATGCTTACATTCATGAGACCTAATGAGCATCTTCAACTGGTATTTATTGAGAATCTTAGAGGTAACGTCTGGTCCAAAATAGCAGCCTCCTCCTCGACTTGTGTTTGGATAACAGCCTTTTCTTCCTCTGGGGTCACTCCACAGAATGTCAACAACCTTGGAAGAACAAACCAAATTAGGCTGCTCCCTATAAGTGAGAGTCTGTCTTTTTAGATTCCAACTTATTTACCAGATATACTAACCCAAAGTATACCAAAGGCTCTTTTCCATTCCTCCTTTAAAATTGCTTCATACTCATCTACTCCATGCACCCTTTCCAGAATAATTTTTCTTAAGTACTGAGGATTAAATCCACGGGCACTCTACCACTGAGCTCTGGTCCCCAGGCCTTTTTATTTTGAGATAGGGTCTAAGTTGCTGAAGCTGGCCTTGAACTTGCAATCCTCCTGCCTCAGCCTCTAAATTGCTGCGATTACAGGCATGCAGTAAAGTTGCTGGGATTACAGGAGTGGGTCAACACATTTGTCCATTCTTTTCTTTTAAAATAGTTTCATTGTCATGTTCACAGAAGAAAGTAGTTCCCCATAAGGAACACATTAGGTATTCTTAATATATTCAAAGAAATTAGGTAGCTCACCTAGCTGGGACTTGGGCCTGGAGCTTTTGTCCTGTTGAACAAACAGCCTGAGGAAGCACTTGCTCTTTCCCACCACAAATAGAGAAAGCTGTTCATTCAAGAACATTCTTAAAGAATCTTCTTCCCCTTTTACCAACTTGATATGGACATTCTCAGTTTCAGCAATACATTTGCTCAATGACTTACTTCTACCAGGTATTCTCCTAAATCCATAGAGTTTTATTAGCATAACATTTCTTTTGGGGTAAGTGTGTGGAAGAGGCAAGCACATGTCACATGATACCCAGGACAGAATACCCAAGTTTCTAAGAATATTTTTCATGAAAAATTGGAAGCTCTTTCTTTACAGCTCCAATGTACAAGTGTAACATGTCTTTATTTAAACTTCTCCTATAAGAACTTCAAGAATAGTAAGAAAAACTACCTTTGTCACTAAAGATAGCAACAACCCTAGGAAAACTCTCTGGGTCCCACATTTAAAATCTTTTAAATCTGGCATTTGGGCCAGTTGATCAATAAAGTACCTCAAAGTTCTAACATCCTATAATTCTGAAAGTCTATATTTTCCACATTTCTTTTTTTCTTTTGTTTTTGGTTTTTGATGCTGGTGCTGGTAATTGAACCTAGGACCTCAAGTGCTGGGCATCCTGGGCAAGTGTTTTACTGCTGAGTATACCTTTAGCCCTTCCACCTCCACATGTTTCTTTTGAGGGCATGAAAAAGCATGCGTTTTAAGTTGTGCAGTTATTCTAGTAGGACCAAATCAGGTCTTAAGAACCCAAAATGGTTGCTCTACTAAATCTGACTGTATACCCATTACAGGTTTAGTATTGAAGGGAAACTAGAAATAAATGAGGGAAAGGGCAGTGAGGTGGAAAGAACAGAACTGGCAGGACAACCACCCTGGAATGGTCAGCATTTGGTCAAAACTAGAGAAGTCCTGCACAAGGCACAGATCAGACACTTGCAGTTTTTTGAAGATTGATTGAGTTCAAAATAAAAACCACTCCAAAAAAGAATCAACCCAGCAGTTTCCTTACTCCTCACTGAATTCTAACATGGGCACAACCAGTACAAATAAATACAATGCAACACCTTTACTATGCTGCTGTTTATGACAAAAATAGCATTTGCATTTTAAACTGAGTCATATCTGGCTTTTACACCAACTAATTCATCTTTGACCTGCAGTATAATGAAGGCTCAAACACAAAACACAAGGGGTTGTATTTTATTAGGAAGGGATTAAGTTTTCAATTCCTACAAGGATATGAATCATTTATAGAAAAATTATCCCTGGAAAAACCTCTTAAATTATCCTGAAAGTACATTATACATGGTTTTATCTATATAATCCTATATAATAATTATGTTTATGTATATACATATAAAATAGTATGTAAAAAAGACTATTTACAAAAATAAATTTTTACAGTATTTTTCTTTTTTTGCCCTCTTTGCCATATATGACAGTTGAAATCTACATAAATTAAACCTACATATGATGGAACTCTGTCAAACTAGAATAAGCACTGGTCAAGAAGTCATCTCTTCAAGTAATTATCTATGTCCTCTTGGGCAAATCACTTCACCTATTTTGGTCTCAGTTGTTATTAATTAAATGAGAAAGATATATCTAAAACTTATTTTCTTTGATTCAAGATCATAAGGGATAACAATTTTTAAGAAAGGAGCATCTCTATCAGAATCCATTCCATGAAATCTCCATTTTGTGTATGGGGATAAGGGGTACTGGGGACTATACATTTCTTATCTGTTTAGAAATTATTCATTTGACTAGTTTTCTTAGACTATAGTTGTAACATAGGTTTAATTCTGGAGCTCACAAACAAAAATGCTATTAAGGGCTCTTTTTAAGTGAAATAAATTCTTCCATAGAAACCATCTCTTTTTTTCTTAACAACAACCTATCCTCTGAGATGCAGGAGTCTTAGGATGGTAATTGCATGAGAGATTAAGTATTTGCAACATTTTTTACTAATAATTTTCAAACCAAAAAGTGGGAAACTTTCACTGACATATGGATTTTAATGATCAGAATAACAAACATCTATTTGTGTCTCAGCCTTTTAAATCTCCTCAATCTAAAATAAATCAAAAATACATGAGATTCCACTGTACTCCCTCTCTAGGATGGCTACAATCAAAAGGGTGTAGTTCAGTGGTAATGCATGTGCTTGACAAGTGCAAGGCCCTAGGTTTAATCTCCAGCATCAAAAGAGTGGGGGGTGCAGACAGGCAATAGTAAGTGCTGGTGAGAATGGAGGAGAAATTAGAACTTCATTGCTGATGGGAATGTAAAATGGTATAGCCACTTGGGCTAACAGTTTGGAACTTTTTCAAAATATTTAACTTTAGAGTTACCTTATCATTCAGCAATTCATATTGAGTATGTACTGCATATATATATACTCAAGAGAAATGAAAAGATATGTGCATATAAAAACTTGCATGTTGTATGTGAATGTTTATAAAGGCATTATTCATAACAGTAAAAAAATGGAAACCAACCCAAATGTCCATGAGCCAATAAATGAATAAATACAATATGATCTACCCATATAGAACATCATTCAGCAATTAAAAGAAAGTACTGACATATGCTACAACATGGATGAACCTAAAGAACATTGTGCTGAGTAAAAGATGCCAGACATGAAAGATCACATATTGTATGTGCCCATTACAATAAAATGTTCAGAATTAGTTTATCTATAAAGACAGAAAGCACGTTAATGGTTGCCTAGGGTTGGGGGGGACAGGAAAAGGGGAGAATGGAGAGTGACTGCTAATAGGTATGGGGTTTCTTTCTTCACTGAAAAAAATGTTCTCAAATTAGACTGTAGTGATAGTTGTAAGTTTACTAAAAACTACTGAATTAAATACTCTAAACGGGTAAGTTATATATGAGTTATATCTCAATAAAAGTATCAAAATGCAGTGATGAATTCTGAGAGAATCATATGGTTTGCTTATAAAGGTAAGTTACTTTTATCTATATATTGTAAGGTGCAACATCATCTATGCTGGTGTCTTCATTGCCACTCTGGGAACACTTTAATTACCTACCTGTTCCCATTCATGCTTTGATAACTCTTGAGAAGGGAAACCATTTGATTTGACTTTTCCTGATGAAGTAACAGTAATGTCCCCTTTACTTTTCTTAGAGTCGGTGGCATGGCCTCTATTTATTGACACTGGTGGCATCAGCACAGATCTCATCTATAAAACAAATTCATGTTTTAGTGAAATACTCTGCTTATTGTGCTGCATGCAGACACTTCAGTAACAGTAACACACAGAAACCTTTTCTGACTCTCCTACCTCCTATGACTCGTTGATCCACTGTTGTCTGTAAAGTGGGCCTGTTAAATTCTGTTTGCACATTTTTCAACTAAAGACACTGCGCTACAGGGAAAAGACTCACATTAAAGTTTCTAAAGGATACCAGAGGCACATATATGTATGCAGGTGCTAAACAGCTTCTAAGGCACCATCACAGGAAATGAAAGATGTTAAGTGCAGGGAAAACTAGTGCCCCCCTGAGCCTTCATCTGGAGCTTGGAGGAGTTCAGAAAAATCTATTAAAAGGACAGCTGCTTTTCATTTTGTTGTATTTTGCAGGAGAAATGAAAAAAAAAAAGTACATCTGTATCAGAAAAGTTCTAAATGGGACATGGATTAAAAACTTTGGAAGCCCTTAACGTAAATGTACTGTAGTTCTCAGTCTGACCTGTCAGCAATTGATTATGTTCTCTAACAACACTCCAGTGTTACTTTGGAAAATAAAATGTCTTTCTGATAGCATTTCAACTATTCTAATCCCTCTGCATTCCCTTATACAACCTGAAATAATAATTTTATTCTTGTGTCTTTGTAGCACCATACCTTAACACAAAGCAATTTCAATCAATACTTCTGATACACTGGTGACCACAGCTCACTATTCTCTGGAATAGGTACCTACTTTCTAATAAAAACTATGGTATGTATGAAATCTTTTCAAAAATAAAATTGAGGCTGGATATGATAGCACAGGCCTATTAATCCTCAGGAGGAAAGACAAGAAGGATTCCAAGTTTAAGGCCAGCCTCAGCAACTTAGCAAGATCCTGCCTCAAAAAAAAAAAAAAAAAAGGATCTTATTCTAAAGCCTTGTCTCACTGAGCTTGTTGGAAATTTCTATCTCAGCTATTATTAGCCAGTTCAGAGCCTACCTTTTCTGTCTTTCCCAGGCAAATGTCCTCAGGTCTTAGGCAGACCAGAATATTCTAGGAAAGCCCTCTGAATCTAGGTCAACACAATTCACTTCTGATAAACTCATAGGGCAAGGCCACAAGGTTCCTTAAGTCTGTGCTGCTCTGCAGTTTTCAAGACCACTTAGGATTTTGAGATAACGTTGCCTAGCTCCTCTAAGGCATCACACCACCATTTTTTCTTGGGAGTCCTACTAGCCATTGTTTATATTTCTTCTTTTGAAATACTCACTGCTGGGGAGTTCAAGAATACCAGAGATTTAGTCTTATAGAGTTTTTCTTTTCTATCCCTCTACATTGACCTCCAACCTGCTCATCATCCAAAATCCTTTCAATTAATTTAGAAGAGAAGTTGCCATTAGGTTTCCTCAACACTACCCCTCCCTTATTAAATTACACCACCACCACAGGTACAAACCAGGAAGTGTGATAATCTGACAATTGAAGGGTCCTATGGAATAAGAACATGGGGATTATAAAACTGAACTTGGAAATCTACCTTTGTATCTTATCTGATAGAGTTCCAGAAGCTCAAGACTACTACTTTCATCACAGTTTAATTATATTTATTTAATATAAATTTATACTGTTAGTTCTTACACTAGTAGGGATATAAGACACAAGCAATATACATATATATTTATATAGAAGTCAAGTTTTTAAATAAAACCAGTCTTATGAGCCAGTGGAACAGTAATCCCTGAAGGGGATGAAATTTGAAACATCCTGGGAAAATTGCTAGCCCAAAAATGTCCCTTAGGTTCTGTCCTAATCACTGAAATTCAGACTTCAGATCCAAATATCAGGAAAAAAACAAAAGGGAGAATCGGAGAGCTATATGTTTAGTATTACTATACATTATTTTCTTCATCTTGGTTAATAATTTAATCTTCACAATAATCTAAAGTGATATTTCTAACTTATTGGTGTAGGAACTGAGACTTAGAAAACTTCAGTGCCTCATCCAATCACCATCCAGGAAATGGCAGAAGCAGGATATAAATCTGACTATGTCTGTCTGATATCAGAATTTCTAGTCTTTACTACATCAGGGTGGCTCTCAACTTAGGGTCTCCACAGAGCTAGGGTAGACATTCCAGAGACTTGTTTGCAATACCTCAAAAAGCCTTACATGAGGCTGGCTACTCAGGCTAATCTCAGGAAAGTAAATTTTCATTCTGAGCCATTGGTAGTGGCTGCCATGGTTGATTAGTGCAGTAGTCACAGGGTGGGTGGTGGACAGTATAGCATTCATGCCATGTGCTTGCCAATATTTGACAGACAAAAACACCATGTTCCTTTGTTCTTGGCAAGAATCATATCTACTGTGTTTTTTTTTTTATGTTTAGCCTTTATTTTAAACAAAGATGAATCCTAATCTATAGAAAAGAAAAATCATTCTGGTTCACACTTTTAAACACATCTTATGAAAATTGTAAAATCACTTTATTCTTTTTAGTTGTACATGACAGTAGAATCTATGTTTTGACATATTTATATAAGCATGGAATATATATTATTCTAATTAGGATCCCAGTCTTGTAAATATATACTATGTTGCGATTCACTGTGGTGTATTCATATATGTACATAGGAAAGTTATGTCAGATTCATTCCACTGTCTTTCCTGCTCTTCCTCCCCTCCCTTCCCTTTATTCCCCTTTGTATAATCCACTGAACTTCTATTCTTTCTCTCCCCCTCTTATTGTGGATTAGCATCCACATATCAGGGAGAACATTCATTCTCTTGTTTTGGGGGAATTAGCTTATTTCACTTAGCAGATAGTCTCCAGATCCACTTATTTACTGGCAAATACCACAAAGTCATTCTTTATGGCTGAGTAATATTCCATTGTGTATAATACCACAATTTCTTTATCTATTCATCTGTTGATGGGCATCTAGATTGGTTCCACAGCTTAGCTATTGCACATTGTGCTGCTATAATATAAACAATGATGTGGCTGTACACTGTACTATGCTGATTTTTAACTCCTTTGGATATATACCATGAAGTGGAATAACTTGGTCAAATGGTGGTTCTATTCCTAGTTTTTTGAGGAATCTCCATACTGCTTTCCAGAGTGGTTGCACTAATTTTCAGCCCCACCAACAATATATGAATATACCCTTTTCCCCACATCCTCACCAACATTTACTGTTACTTGTATTCTTGATAATTGCCATTCTGACTGGACTGAGATGGAATCTCAGTGTAGTTTTAATTTGCATTCCTTTAGTTGCTAGAGATGTTGAACATTTTTTCATATATTTATTGACCATTTGTATTTCTTCTTTTGAAAAGCATCTGTTTAGTTCCTTTGCCCACTTATTGATTGGATTATTTATTTTTAGTATTAAACTTTTTGAGTTCTTTGTATATACTGGAAATTAACACCTTATCTGAGGTGTGGATGGCAAAGCTTTTCTCCCATTCTTTAGGTTATCTCTTCATGCTCTTGATTGTTTCCTTTGCTGTAAAGAAGCTTTTTAGTTTGATATCATTCCATTTGTTGATTTTTTTATATTACTTCTTGTGCTTTAGGAATCTTGTTGGGGAAGTCATTTCCTAAGCTGACAGATTGAAGTGTTGGGCCTACATTTTCTTCTAGTAGGTGCAGGGTTTCCAGTCTAGTACCTAGGTCTTTGGTCCACTTTAAGTTTTGTGCAGGGTGAGAGATAGGAGAGGTTAAATTTCATTCTACTACATATGGATTAATTTTATATCCTGCTATTATGCTGATATCCCAGCACCATTTGTAGAAGAGGCTATCTTTTCTCCAAAGTACATTTTTGGCACCTTTGTCGAGTATAAGAGAATTGTATTTATATGGGTTTGTCTCTATGTCTTCTATTCTGTACCACTGGTCTACATGTGTTTTGGTGTCAGTACCATGTTTTTGTTATTATAGCTCTGTAGTATAATTTAAGGTCCGGTGATGTAATGCCTCCTGCTTCGCTTTTCTTGCTAAGGATTGCTTTGGCTATTCTGGGCCTCTTAGTTTTCCAAATGAATTTCATGACTGCTTTTCCTATATCTATAAAGCATGTCATTGAAATTTTAATAGGAATTGCATTAAATTTGTATAGCACTTTTGATAATTTGGCCATTTTGACAATATTAATTCTGCCTATCCAAGATCATGGGAGATCTTTCCATTGTCTAAGATCTTCTTCAATTTCTTTTGTTAGTGTTCTGTAGTTTTCCATTGTAAAGGTCTTTCACCTCTTTTGTTAGATTGATTCTCAAGTTTGTTTGTTTTGTTTTAGGCTATTGTGAATAGAATAGTTTTCCTAATTTCTCTTTCAGCTGATTCATCACTGGTGTATAGGAACACAATTAATATGAGTGTTAATTTTATATCCTGCTACTATACTGAATTAATTTATGAGCTATAGAAGTGTTCTAAGTCCTCTAAATATAGGATAATGTTGTCAGCAAATAGAGATAGTTAGAGCTCTTCTTTTGCTATTCATATCCCTTTAATTTCTTTCTTTTGCCTAATTGTTCTAGTTAGAGTTTCAGGAACTATGTTGAATATAAGTGCCTTGTTCCAGTTTTTAGAGAGAATGCTTTCAGTTTTTCTCCATTTAGAATGATGTTGGCTTGGGTTTGTCATATATAGTTTTTACAATGTTGAGATATGTTCCTACTTGCCCTAGATTTTCTCATGATTTAAACATGAATGGATGCTGTATTTTGTTGAATGCTTTTTCTGTATCTATTGAGATCATCATGTGATCCTTGTCTTTAAATCTATTTATGTGGTGCATTATATTTATTGATTTCCATATGAACCAACCTTGCATCCCTGGGACGAAACACTCTTGATCATGGTGCAACATTTTAATATGTTTTTTATGCAATTTGCCAGTATTTTATTAAGAATTTTTGTTATCTATGTTCATCAGGGATATTGGTCTGAAGCTTTCTTTCCTTGATGTGTCTTTAACTAGTTTTGGTATCAGGGTGATACTAGCTTCATAGAATGAATTTGGAAGGGTTCCCTCCTTTTCTATTTCATGGAATAATTTGAGGAGAATTGGTGTTAGTTCTTCTTTACAGGTCTTATAGAACTCAGCTGAGAATCCACCCAGTCCTGGGCTTTTCTTGGTTGGAAGGCTTTTGATGGCATTCTCAATTTCATTACTTGAAATTGATCTGTTTAAACTTTCTATAGCCTCCTGGTTCAATTTGGGTAGGTTATAAGTCTCTAGAAATTTGTTGACGTCTTCAAGATTTTCTAATTTATTGAAGAATAGATTTTCAAAATAGCTTGATTATTCTCTGTATTTCAATAGTGTCTGTGGTGATATTTCCTTTTTTGTCACAAATTTTAATAATTTGAGTTCTTTCCCTCTTTCTTTTGGTTAGCTTGGCTAAAGGTTTATAGATTTTGTTTATTTTTTTCAAAGAACCAACTTTTTGTTTCATTGATTTTTGAATTTTTAAAATTTCAACTTCATTGATTTCAGTTCTCCACTAAGTTTATACTGACTCTCTCATCTTGATCAAAGCATCTTATTGACTTGACTATTCATTGATATTGTAAGAAAGAGGACCTTAAACTTAGGATGACCTTACAATTTATTGCAACTGGGATACTATTTTAGAGTAGAAGGAGGCACTATTAACAATTAAACCAGCACAAATGTATAATCCAGTTAGTACGGAAGTCACTCAGTGAAATGGGCAAAGAGGTATATAAAATCACCATAGATGTTGGTTTATACCCAAAAGACTTAAAATTAATGTTTACAGTGTTGCAGCCACATCAATGTTTATAGTAGCTCCATTCACAATAGCTAAACTATGGAACAAACTTAGGTGTCCTTCAATAAATGAATGGATGAAGAAAATATGGTATGTATACACAATGGAGTATTACTCGCCTTAAAGAAGAATGAAAAGATGGTAGTTGCTGGTAAATGTATGGAGCTGGAAAATATCATGATAATCAAAATAAGCCAATCCCCCCAAAACCAAAAGCTAAATGTTTTCTCTGATATGCAGATGCTAACTCACAATAGGGGGAGTGGGAGCTGGGGAAGAATAGAATAACTTTAGATTAGGTAGAGGGAGGTGAAGGGAGGGGAGGGGGTTTAGGGGTAAGAAGGATAGTAGAATGAATCAGACATTATTACCCTGTATACATATATATAACTATACGACCAGTGTGATTCTATATCATGTACAACAAGAAGAATGAGAAATTATACTTCATTATATATGATGTAGCAAAGTGCATTCTACTGTTATGTGTAACCAATTAAAACAAATTTTGAAAATTAAAAAAAATCACCATAGACTCACAAAAGATATTATAAAAATGTTTCTATCCAATTTCGTCTTAGGTTTGCCCTGCTTTAGTCTTAAATCTCTTAAGAGATATTTAGTGAATATTAAGTACTTACTATATCTCAGGTGCTGAGGTATTATCAGTGAACAGGAGAAGTGGGGAGATATAGTAAAGAATAGTCCCATGAATCCTTATTAATTATGGTGACTGTTACAAAGGATATATATAAGAGGCTTGAGAGTATATAAAGGGCATCTGATCTAGTTTAGGTATATTAAGCTTAAATTAAAAGTATGAAAAGATGATAACACTAATATTATCATTCACATGTATATAAAGGTATAGAGGCTCCAAAACCTCAAGGTGCAATGGGATCACATTTCTGTCTCTATCAGATTCAATTCAGTTCTAGATCCCCCGGTGTAGATTGGTTGAAAGTTGACTATAATTCCTGAGGTGTAATGGTTCAGATTTCCCACTAAGACTATATGCCACTGTTTGGCTTCACAGCTCTATTGGTCCTCATGCCCATGTGGCACCCCTTATGTTGCTAGTATGCAGACTCCAGCTTGGCTGTGGTAGAGGAGGAAGACAACTCCTGTTTCTCTATAAGTCCCATCCAAGAAGCCCTTCACTAGGTGTGGAATATTTACAGATACCACATAGCCACTTCTCTCAGAGGTTCTATTCAGGTTCCTTTTCGGCCTCTGCTGTATTTAATATGCTTATTTACAGTTAAAGTATTTAAAAATAATTATCCTGATCAATCTGAAGTATAAGGGAAATCATATCAATTTTAAAAACTGCTATATGATTCTACTTATATCAGGTACCTAGAGTAGTCAAATTCATAGAAACAAAGTAGAATATTGGTTACTGTGGCTGGAAAGGAGAGGAGAATGGGGAGTTATTGTATAATGTGTATGGTTTCAGTCTTGGAAGATGAACAGTTTTGTATATGGATGGTGGTCACAGTGGTGATGGTTGCACAACAATGTGAGTGTACTTAATGCCACTGAATTATACACTTTAAAATGGTTACAGTGGTAAATTTTATGTCACATGCATTTTACCACCATGTAAATGAATTAATGGATATTTTAACTTTTAAAAATCAGAAGTTTTTTTCACTTTTAGAAACTATATAAAATGCCAGCATGTCCTCATTTTTCCATTTTCAACATGAATTTAAAAAAAAAATACTTTCCACATATAGAAGTTGCCCATTTAGTTTTTTATTATGCATGCAATCATAGATTTTCTTAAAATTTGTACTAATCTTTTCAGAATTAAAGTCACCACTAAAATTCAAATCAATTCAAAATGATAAATGAAAAGAGGTATACATATTCTATTATAAACCTCTGAGATAACATTCATGCAAATATTACTTCTTACTTTGCTTCTCTGTAGGCGGTGGAGTAAATTTAAATCTGTGGACTCTGATATCCCGCCATGTATCACCAGAATTTCATTGTCAATAATTGTACCAATTGGGAGCAAGGTATAGACTTCTTCCAAGATTTGCAAGATTTTTTTTCCATGCAGCTGTAAGTAAGAGCTTGAGTAAGTTTTATTTTTCTGATAGGTCCAGATTATTGAACAGTCCCAATGCATGGACAAAAAGCAAATTTTCATACCACACCAAGGAAGTCACCCCAGAGTCACTAACCAACTACCATGTATTAATCATGGTTTTTAGTCTGTATTTTTGATACTTTGACATCTTGGGGAGTGCCAATCCTACAGAAGAGACTGCCCCTCTTCAGGGCTAACTAATTACTAGAAACAATAAATGATTCACCTTTCACATGAAAACCAACTAATCCAGAGCCCACACCTTCAATAACATCTTTTATTAGGCTCTCACACTTAAGGCCAATATTTCTCTACTCACCCAGGGCCAGGTACCAGACAACTAGGGATAACTCATGCTCCAGAGCAAGCTGACATTATTCAAACTAGTCAATCTTAAATTTGATTACACTGAGACCCTTTGTCAGTTCCTTTCCATGAAAACCACAATAAAGTTTCTTGTCCATGTTACCCTGGCTCCCTCTGCCTTCTGATGGACTCTGGTACTTCCCCACATAGTCCACCCAGTGTGGTATGTAGTGCCTCCTATTTCTAGGGAACTGTGAATAAAAACCTTTTCTTTCATGACAGTCATTTCTGAGTCTGCTTATTTTACCATACCTGAGTTAAAAAAAAAAAATCCCCAAGTGGGTACCTTTAAAGAAATGGACTACGTTTGTATCTACACTGAAACCAACACAAAAGTCACAATGAAAAAGTGTGGTTTAGTCCAAGTGGAGTGGGGGGGGGTAGACTCTGAGTGGTGAGAGCTTCTTGCTGTTCCTCTATTTTATTGGCATGAATTCTGACTAACTGGCCCATCACCTTTCCTAAAGCAACAATCTGTTCTTTATTGACTGTTTGTTTTTAATGTCTATGCATAAACAACAAAGAGAATGCAAAAAAAAATTAAAAGTTTTGAGTCTTACCTTGTATTTAAACAAGATTTCTCTTGTGAAGCCATACCTTAAAAAGGGGGGAGCAGTTAAACAATTAATTGTTGATAATTCCTATTTACATGAATCATACAAAAAGGGGAGTCCTTGATATCTCACTATCCCCAGTACTAGGAACTCAAGAAATTAGGTTTCAGTTGGAACTGTTACTTTAGTCTTTGATAGGCATGATAGGAAAGAACAAAAGCAATGAATGACATGTTCCCACCCTCAAGGAGATTATACCATATTGGGAAAAGAAAATACATTTTCATGAACTAACTTTAAGACAACTTAGAAAATAGGTATGAGCTGTGTAAAGACTGCAAGTCTTTTGAAAGTTTACTGCAGCAGCTGAGGAAGCTGTGTGGGAGAAGGTTTTTTCATTTAGATAGGATTTCTCAGACATCCTATATCTTACAGTAAATGATCAGAAAAAAGAAAAGATTGAACAAAGATGAACAAAAGCCCAGATGATAACAAGTTGGCTCTTTATGCTTTCTCTGATATAGGTCACGTAATGAATGGTATTCAGGGTCTTAATAGAAAGTCTCATGAACATTAATGCCTGACTAGCAGTAGCTAAGGGAGATTTAATAATGGAAAATTTTTCAATTACTTTTCCTTGCTTTAGGATAACAGTATGTACACTTAATATCCAACAAGGTAAAGTAGAAACAGCACACTTACCCTAAGTTTCCATGCAAATCATGTCATGCTAGGCTTCTACAATAATGGAGACAAATTCCCCCCAAAGCTCACCAAAGGTGTGCATGTTGTTAAACCAATATACACTTTGTAGTCCTTACATTTCTCATCCTCTCTGAAACACTAAATACATTGACTATACCATCCTTCTGGAAAACTCCTCTTAGATTTTGTGACAGAAAACTCTTGGTTTTCCTCCTACTTTTCTGGCTATTCTGAATCTCCCTTGCAAGTTCTTCTCCTCCACATAGTCTTAAATCCTTCAGATTCTGTCCCCAATCCTCTCCTACCTTCACTTTCTGCCTTAACAATTACATCCCTGTCCATTCAGGGCTTCAGTTAATACCTATTGTCAGTATCACAGGGTCATACTCCAGACACTTAATTTCTGATGTCTGCACGTATAATCAACTGTCTACTCATCAGCATCTCAGATCAGTTTACCCCAAACTGAACTTATCATTCTCCTTCTGAATGATTCCAGACTGTACCCCCAAACTCCAGCCAGGAATCTGGAAATATCCTTGATTTCTTCCTCTTTCAAGTCCCCCATATCAAGTTATTGATCCTTAAGTCTTCATTGCCTAAAGTCCTCTTGAATCTATTTCTTTGCATCTCTATTACCACCACCCTAGTCTAAGTAAGAATCTATCATCTATCTCTTCAACTACTTCCTAATTGACCTCACTGTACCCACTTTTTGCTGTTGCCCTTCTCAGTATCATTTTTTCCCCCAGTACTAGGCAATGAACCCAGGGTCTCACACATGCTACGCAAGCACTCTACCACTGACCTACTTCCACAGTCCTCTTCCTGTTAACTTTTTAAAATACAAATTTTATTATATCTTTCAATGATATTCATTTGTCCTTAGAAAATAGTGCAAATTTATTTGTATCATGCAACCATTTCTTACATCTCCAGCTCTATTAAGCACCATCCTATCCCTCATTCTATATTTCTGCCTTCCTGAACTTTCAAGTCTTAAAAAGTCTTGTCTCAAACTCTGCATAAGTTGTTCCTTCACTGTGAAACACTGTTCCCATCCCACCCAACATTCCTTTCTCTCAATTGCTCAATTCATCCTTCAAGTCTCAGGCTAGTATTTCCATAGGACAATTTTCCATCACCCTTCAGACAAAGTTGGATCCCTCTTTATCAACTTATTACACTTGAAAACCCTGCTCAATGTGTTTTTCCTGCTAGATGTGAGCAAGGGCTATGTCTCTTTCATTAACTATTATAGGCACTAGATGAATACAACTGGCTAACTGAATAAATGAAAGGATAAATGGCATGCCCAAATAAAAGTATTGCACTATTTTATATGGGTTTCTGATAATAGTCCTGGGATTTTTTTTTTCTTCATAGTCATAGCATTTGCTTTCTTATACTTTTTTTTTTTAATTTTTTTGGCAGGATGGGGGTGGGGTATTAGGGATTGAACTCAGGGGCATTCAACCACTGAGCCACATCCTCAGCCCTATTTTGTATTTTCTATTTAGAGACAGGGTCTCACTGAGTTGCTTAGTGCCTCGCCATTGCCGAGTCTGGCTTTGAACTCACAATCCTCCTGTCTCAGCCTTCCGAGCCACTGAGATTATAGGCATGCACCACCATGCCCTGCATTTTCTTATACTTTGAGAAATTGAAACTCTACTCCAACCAGGTGTCAAAACTGCCCCAAAGACAAAACTAATCTGTTGTTGAGCTTTGATTAAGGTATTCAAAAGCCCAAGCCCAAAGGCATGAGACATGCCATACCTTCTATTGTCCTAGAACAAACTGATTTTTTTTTTTTCATAAAATAAGAGATGAAAAGAAAAAGGAAGAAGGGGAAAGGGAACATTTGTCACCTCCTGTACCTTTCAGCAAAAATTCTTAAACCATTTAACCAGTCTTTATTCCTGAGTCAGAGAGCTGAACTACTATATTATAGCTGTTCTCAAAAAAAAAAAATGTTTATTACTAAGCATTAAAAGAGAATAAAATTATGGCATTTGCAGGTAAATGGATGGAGTTGGAGAATATCATGCTAAGCAAAGTAAGCCAATCCTCCCCCAAACAAAAACAAAGGCCAAATGTTCTCTCTGATAAGTGGATGCTGGTCCATAACAGGGGTGGGGTTGGAAGGGAGTGGGAGGGGGAATGTGAAAAATGGAGGAACTTTCATTGGGCAAAGGGAAAGAAGAGGAGGGAGGGTGCATGGGAGCAGGAAACATGGTGGAATGAGATGGACATCACTACCCTAGGTACATGCATGACTGCACATATGGTGTGATACTACATCATGTACAGCCAGAGAAATGAAAAGTTGTGCTATAATTATATACAAAGAATTAAAATGCATTCTTCTGTCATATATACCTAATTAAAATTAATAAATTAATAAAAATGTTTATGAACAACTATGCCAGAAGTAATTACTATGTCATAAAAATACACATATTAATACAAAACATGGTGCTAGTTTCTGAGGCAATATTTGAGACAAGCCAAAAGAGTAACAATAGGACAATTCCATCTAAGTCTGCACATGAAACATATCATGCCTCCAGATTGGCCTAATACACCTATCTAACATGTAATTTGGCCTATGAAGGGTGGGCATGGGAGCAAGAAAAAGAACATGATAAAAGAGAGAAGGAAGAATAGGACTGGAAAAAAAGATAAGAAGGGGGCTTTAGAGCAATTGACCCTTAGTTGAAGACTGAGGGTGTTAAATAGGGCTCAGAATTGAGGTCTTCCTTGAGATTCCCCTCATCTCTCCTTCTCTACCCTGGCCTCTAATTCTCTACTGGATACTAAACATGGCAGTATTTTCCAGAGTGGGAAATAAAAGAGGAAATCTAAAGGCTGAGGTTACCTCATATTCATCATAAAATCCTCATGATTCCCTCTGTTCAAGTGCAGGTCATTGGGGTAGACAAGAAAACTCACAAGCAGGATCATGAGGACCTCTATGGAGTTACTGCCTCGATCTACAAAATCACCATTAAAAACATACGGGTTGTTCCCCGACGGGAGACCGTTCTGTGGAAGGAAGAGAGGAGGGAAAACAAGCAGTTAAACTAATGTTGTTGTTTTAAAGTAAGGCTTTGTGTGTAACGTCCCTTTATATGGAGAAAAGAGGCTGAGTCAGTTCTTTCATTGGAAAAAAATTCTGCTTACCTGCTTGAGCCAGTTTCCCTCTTCCAGGGCAGGAATCTCCTGTAAGGGACCTGAAAATGAAGCTTGAGACAGGAAGATTCCAGGGAATACAAGGCAGGGGAGTGCTCATTCTACCCACCACCTACTATTGAGTTTCCTCTAAAAAAAGCTGATAATTATCCATCAACAGTTGTTACTGTCATCTCTTCTTTCTCCTCTAAAAAGAGGGAAATTTCTATCCAGTGTAGAACACTGAACTAACAGCCAGAAATCTTTCATTCTAAGGAGCTCTACATCTAAATTCTTTAGGGTACTATACCCTCGATTTGCAAAAGAAAGATGATACTATATTCCTCCCTAGATCACTTGTGAGAACGGATATAAAGTTACCCAGGCAAGTGGTATGACTGTGAGCAGGGCTAGTGTACTACTAAGCACACCTAGTGTCTATAGCAAGCATGCTATTCTGGCTGATTGCTGACAGGGCCATATTAGTCATTAGATACTTTTAATATCATTCCTAAGTATGAGATACATTTTTTTCTCCAGTACCAGGGATTGAACTAGGGGTATTCTACCATTAAGCTATATCCCAACCTCTTCTTATTTTTTATTTTGAGACAGAATCTAAGTTGCTGAAGCTGACTTTGAATTTAGGATCCCCCTACCTCAGTCTCCCAAGTAACTGGGATTACAGGCATGTGCCACAGCACCAGGTGAGATAATATTTTTAAAGACAATGATAGTATGAAAAGGAGCTGAGATTAGGACACAGGACTAATTTATAAGAACTATTAATTAATTTACTTCTACACTACAAAACTAAGACAAAACAAACATATGTAACATGGTTACATTTTCTCGGTGTCAGACCTGATAATGAAATGTCTGAGTGCACTGCTACTTCACAGTAAGATAAGTTCAAATGTTTAAAAAATGTATTATGAAGAGAAACATTTAGGTACCCATACATCAAAATGTATGATTTCCTTCAAAAAAGTCAACCTTCAGGAAATAATAGACATTCTTAATCTTTTTCAAACTACTTTCAAATTCTTCTTTTGTTAGATTTCAAACTGCATAAGAAAGTTTTATTACTTTGTACTTAACATCCTACTATTTATATATATTTTAGAAGGTTCGTATAATAAAGTAATTGAAAAACTATAATACAGGTTATAACACATATCTTAGGGATTTCAGAAATCATTTATGCAACATAACATGTTCTGAAGGTAAGTGGAAACAAACAAGCAGTGGCATGGTGTAATAAGACTAATACTCTAGTCCAGCTCCACTTGTTATACCCAGATATCCTTGGGCATGTTATTTTATCTTTTATTAATCTTTAAAATGGTAATGATTACAGGGCTGGGGTTATGGCTCAGCCATAGAGCGCTTACCTACCACATGCAGGGCGCTGGGTTTGATCCTCAGCACCACATAAAAATAAAATAAACGTATTGTGTCCAACTACAACTAAAACAATTTTTTTAAAAAAATGGTAATGATTACTTCCATACTTACCATGCAGAGCTATTTTAGAATTCAATGAGATTATATGTATAAAAACTAGAAAGCACTATACAAATTAAGAGATTCATCTTATTGTGACATCCATGCTATTTCTAATTTTAAGATTTCATAATTTTACATTTCCTTAATATATTAATTCACACAACCTTATTCACATGGGGCTTAGATAGTGTAACCAGCTGCAAAAATTTAGACTACTGCTCATCAAAACTTAAAGAAAAGGAGAAGGACTCTGACACTATTCCTTCCCCCAGGCTTCAGCTAGTTGGGATAAGTAGCTGGAAATGTTAGGAGGGGTGATGGAGGTTACAGACTATTGTGACATCCAGGTTCTGAAGGGGGCTAAACAAGCAGCAGCAAAAAACCCTGGGGTGAGAACAGAGGACGACTATGGCTGAGGGGACCCATGGACAATTCCATCTAAGTCTAAGAGGCGACTCTGCTCAGAGCATGTGGGTAGTCCTAGTTGGGTGGGTTAGAATGTTAGATCTTACTTTTCGCATGCCAAAAGCTAAAAGGTCATGAATGCTTGCATTTAGGAGCATCTAGAAACATAGAGACTTCCTTTTCACATTCTTCATGAAGGAATAGAAACTGTTATGCCTCCAACTCTGGAGAGGCTTGAGCTACCTTAAGCAGAAAATAGAAAACAGAAATAAGCTAGTACTTAAGAGAATCCAGCAACCAGAGATGTGTTAAAGTAGATAACCCCTAATGTAACAGGACTGCTGGAGGAGACAGAGAACAGCTTTATTTTTTAAATGATGAGAGGAATGTATAAGAACAAAAAATTTAAAATTCTTGGCATTAAAAATATGCTATTCAAATTTAAAATAGCAGTGGATTAGCAGAAAGAATGGTTGTAAATTACATTATTGAACTGAAAGAGTAAACAGGTGAAAAATCTCTCACACTGAACAAAAAGCAAATAATAGAACTCATAAAGAATAAACACATGAGACTAGAGTTTCAGAGCCAAGAGACCTAATGTGCCAATAATAAGCATTCTAGAATCAAGGAGAAAAAAAAAGAAGTTGGAAAAGAAATAATAATTATAAAAATAAGAGAATTTTTTCAACAGTAGTCTGAAAGAACTCATGACTCCTGTGCATAATTAATGGGAAAGAAAAATCCTATTCCCTGGTAACAGCCTCAGAAGAAGCCAGAAAGAACAAGTTACAAAGGGAAAAGAATCATCCGGCATCAGACTTAGCATCTGCAGTAGTGGGAGGTAAGAGATGGTAGAAGAAAATCTATAAATCAAAGAGAGAAAAGGACTATAAACCAAGAATCTATACTGACCAAGAAGACATCATTAACATCTCAGAGTGATAGAAAAATACTTGCAGAAGTATAAGGGATCACAAACCACCAACAACATAAATGTTCTTCAGGGTGAAAGAAAGACATGAATATGTAATGATCTAATACACAAAAACAATGAACATGTATTGATTGCTTGTAACACACCAGGCACAGTTTTAGGTGCTACAAACACAGAAGTAAACAATATAAAGTTCTTTTATTCAAGGAGCTTGCATTCAGTGAAGAAAGTACCCATATGACCCATAGATGAAAACACTCAAGAAAATTAAATAACAGTAGTAAAAATTAAAATGTCCTCAAGCTAGGAAAAGACCAAGATGAAAGAATATAGATGTGAACAATGAACCTTGAAATATATAATTACATATAAATCAATATGATATTATCAAACTTGCATTTAAATACTAGGAAAATATTCTATCAGTAGAAAATTGTCTAAAATTATAAATAAATTATTCAGACTAGATAGATAAAATTAATAATGGTTAAGACCTAGAAATATGGCATAAGCAAAAGCTAAGATCTGTGGGGGACATCGAGGGAGCAAAGTAAAATGGTCTACAAATATTGTCTGTCTGAGGGATATGGAAAGATAAAGATATGGAAAATAAAGATTTATCTTACAGGAAGTAAGAGGATTATAGTGTAAGAATACATTTAAAGCTATTTGAGAAATATATTACCAAAAGATAAAAAAGGAAATGAAAAGGGCAAAACAAAGTTAAATAAATAGTAAAGTAGAATAGAAGGAAAGTTTTCAAATATACCCACTGTTATACTAAATGTAAATAGGTTAAATTCTCATTAAAATGCCAAGATTACTAGAAAATTTAGGTATAGCTTACTCATGAGAAATACACAGGTAGAAAGTAGATTAAGAGGAGGTAGAAAACAAGGTAAATCCAATAAAGAGAAAAAAAGTGGAAATATTAATACTCAACAAAGTGGATTATAAGATTAAAATGTTAAATAGTGTCACAAAGAAATATTATATCATAATAAAAAGTACTTTATAGGGGCTGGGGATGTGGCTCAAGCGGTAGCGCGCTCGCCTGGCATGCGTGCGGCCCGGGTTCAATCCTCAGTACCACATACAAACAAAGATGCTGTGTCCGCCGAAAAAATTTAAAAAAAAAATATATATATATATATATAAAATAACTTATAAAGAAGTTATAGTTCATGAGCTTGTAGTCACTATACAAAAGAACAAGCTTTTGCTTGTTCACTATGTCTGAATTATCCAAATGTCAGGGCTACGGATGTAGCTCAATGGTAGAGCACTGCTAGCATGTGTAAGGCACCGGGTTTGATCTCCAGTACCAAAAATGTGGGGGAAAGGTTAAAATAATGGGCAGAAATTCTATAACATTCCCTTTAAAAGGTAAAGCCTCATTTGCTTCCCCTTGAGTGTAGGCCAGACTTAGTGACCTGCTTCTAAAGAATAGGAAAATAAAAAAGTAATGATATATAACTAGGGAGATTTAGTCATAAAAGATACTGTAGCTTCCTGCCTATTCTTTCTCCTGGATCACTCACTCTAGGGAAAGACAGTTGCTATGTCATGAGAATATTCAGAAAACCTTGTGGCGAGGCCATGAGTTCAGCAAGGAACTGAAATGTTTTGCCTATAGCTATGTGACTTAGCCACCTTGGAAATGGCTCCAGCCAATCTTTCAGGTGTCTGTAGCCCTGACCAATAGTCTTATTGTCTCCCCATGAAGAAACCCTGAGCCAGAATGACATAGCTAAATTGCACACAAATTTCTGATGCACAGAAATTATGAGAGATTAAATTTGGTAGCTTTAAGGCACTAAGTATTGGGGTGGCTTGTTACAAAGCAATATATAATACATATAGTAGATACAATTGGCAAAATTGAATATACAATCAATAAACATGTTTTAATAACTATATGAAGAACTTTATATATAGAAAATACAATTAATTTTTCTTATGTCCATAAAGTCTTCATGAGAATCAACCATTAAGGCTTTAAAGAAACCATTAACAAATTCAA